ACTTTATCCATTGCTCTATCTATGCTATGAAAAATGGTAAAGCTAAAGGCAAATAAAAAGCACTCATGAAGCGGTACTTCGATTTCTCTTGCTTTTTCTGCTGCTTGCATGTATTTTTTTCTCTAACATAAAACCACCGCGATGATTTATTGTGGTAGCTTGCATGTATTGGTCAAACCGACAATATTTCAAAAAAAAAAAGATCCCATCTCCAACACACAATCAGCACTTTAGGAGACAATAAGCGCAGTTGTTGGTTTGATTGTACGAAGATGTATTTGTATATTATACGAATAAGGCGTAATATTAACATTGCGCCAGATGACAGGAAAACGAATGTTTCGTACCATTTATGAAAGATGTGTTGTATGTACGATATTCATTTTTACGAAACGGTTTTCAGAGAAATAACGAAAATACATTTTCAGTGGATGCACCTGTGGGACTGGCCTGGATTTTCCACGACCGCTCCCATAATTTTTTGTCGAAGCCCTTCTTGCTTGGAAGCCATCTCGATAACTACTTGACAGATTGTGACGAGATTTTACACTTGTAAACATTAAACTGTTAACTAGTTTTACTAAAAATTTCATCAATTTCATCAATAAAAAGATCACACAAAAGAAAGTGTTGCATTTTGTTTCTGAAGGACGAAAAGTGGCAGATGCTGATAGGCAAACTGAAGGTCATCGTGATGGAGTGAATCAAGCGGACCGCCATCCGGGAAGTGAAAGCGTTTATTCATAAGATTTTGATACATGAAAAGGCAGGATGTAACGGATTATTATCAACAATCAATTCGAAACTAACGATTTTAAATTGGGTCACTACTTGACTAGCCTATTGGTCCCAAGCAAATCGATTAACGTACCCCATTCTAGTACTACACTATAATTGTTTTGATTGGCTATGAAAGTTTGACATATATTCGTGGATTTTCTTATGTTTCGAGGGGTGCATAGATTAGTTTGGGACCGAAGATAGTACCAGAGCTGAGCCAAAAAGTTGAGCACGTTTCTTCGGGACCATCTGGTCTTAGAGTTACCTCTATTATGGCAATGATATTATGGCAATGATAGATGCACATGAGGATTATTATGGCAATGATAGATGCACATGAGGATCCAGTAGAAGTGCCAAGGTGTTTTTATCCTTGGCAAAAGGTTAGATCCAAATTCGCTATTATCGTCGTCGTTGGCAGTACTATTCGTATATTTTAAGTTATCCATCGACCGCAGAAAGTACATGAATTATCACGTATCTTAATCGTTCGTTACATACCTCAAGCGAACATAATCGTACTTTGACCCTAAGCGCTGTGGATTGTGAGATGATCAATACCCCTGGAGAGATCGTTCTTGCTGAAAATCATGGATTTAACCCCAAGCTTTTCCACAGCACAATAAATTGCCATCTTCATTTGTATATTTGATATTACCCATCACCCTCGGGAACTATTTGCTTTATCGCGTATTTCAGTCGTTCGTTACATACCAAGCGAAAACGTAATGATGTTTTGTCGCGGAGCGTTATGGTTCTGAGATGCTCGATGATCCCCTGCAGGGATCGTTTTTGCTAATCCCAAGCTATCCGTCATAACTCTTAAAATCTATGATGACTAAAAAAAATTAATATTTTCTTTCGGTAGTCGGCTATCGAGAGATTAAATGAGCAAGACATAGATAATAGGGGAAATGGCTCTTATATTTGCCTATGGATCTAAGATTGGGCCCATCGCTAAAAATTTGCTATTTATCAATTTTATCTTAATGAACGCGTCATTGGGACTGTACTAATGGATATTTTAGGTCGCTATTGAAAATTTAGTCGATTGCTGAATTTATGAATTGGCCCAAATTAGGGACATTTAGGCCGATATTACATCCATTTCCCCTACATACTTTTGGTTGCATCGCCAACTTGAGGCGAAAACCGAAACCCTCTATCTCCGTAGCACTTATGAGGGTGTCGCTAAGTCGGTGGCCTCTCGTTAAGTAAGTACTACATCAACATTTCCATCCCTATCTCTAGTTATGGTAGAGATGAACGTGGCCGGGAATAGCGACAGCCATGCTTCTGGGTATTCTTGTTTAAATTTGAATCAATGTGTACTCCTTACCATTATTAGCTTAGCTGAAAGTAGTCTAACTGAGAGTTTCAAATGAGTAGTGAGTGTCTCTAGTATGCAATTTACGCTAACATAACAGCGCTAACGCTAACTGCATGAATTTGTAGATTGTTTGGCAAGACAATGATGCTCTATATCCAGGGAAGCCGAATGCCTCCAGAAAATTTCCAACATGAAAGTTTTCCACATCAGGCTTGGTAATACCGTACCTAGAGCTTCCATTTCCCGGTGGTTTCCACCATCCCGGGATTCAAAAAATATTTATTTGATATCCCGGGAAATCCCGGAATCCCGGGAAGTGAACAATGATAGTAAATTGTTTTAATACTCGTATGTTTCATCCCTTCGAAGAAAGATTAAAAAATGAAGGTTCCTTCAATATTAGGGACACCAGATTTAAAGACATATCTTCATTTTGAAGACATTGAAAATTCTGTGAAGGTATTTTTTTCATGCAGACATTTTGAAGACATCCAATGATTTGTGAAGTTTTTTCAAGACATGCGGAAGCTGAAGCAAGCTTCCGATGGATTTTTTTTTAATTTTAAGCTGGCATATGAAGATTTTTGGTTAAATAAATGAAGTTTGTGACTTCATATTTTAAGCTTCTCCCTGAATATGTTGAATATGAATAATGTAACCAAAATCGGATATTTCTGAATAAAACTTGATCCAATTGAATATTCACAGGACTTCACTGAAATATTCGATTAGCTGGAGATCTTTTGAATACATCCTGATCCACGTACAGTTTTGGGAGAATATCTTCTCAACTTGATCAACCTGAAGCCTTGAAAAATATCCAGAGGACTTTATTGTGATCTTAGATCAGCTGGAGATCTTTAAGTACTACCTAAACGATCTGCCATCTTGAGAGAGCCAATTGAATGTTTGACTAGTTTAAGATCTTTAGATTTCCTGATCAACCTGAATTCACTAATATCTGACCAACCAGCAATCTTGAGAGACGTTATTTGAATTTAATGAACAGTTGAATATCTTAAGAATAACAATTGATCAACCTGAAGTCTTGAAAAATATCTTTAAATCTCGGACCAACTGCATATCCTTTAAATACTCTCTAGTCAAACCTCCATCTTGGAAGGATGTCTTAAAGATGTCGTTTGAATTTTTGAACAATTGCAGATCTTTTGAACATTACTTGATTATGTTGAAAAGTCTTGAATAATATCGAGAGATATCATCGCAAATCCGTGAATATCAGTTATACGAAGATTTCTGTACTTTTAAGAAGTTTCTTGAACCTAAACTCAGTTCCATGAACTCAAAGCCTATATAAAGTTCTCTGAATGTGTAGAATATTCGACGAAATCCTGGGATATTCCGTCAACTTCTTCGAAGCTCCCAGTACTTCAAAGATTTTTCCATAGGTTACATCTTTTAATTTTTCGATAGGTACAACTTAATTTCAGCCCAGCTTGCTGAACTTTCAAATAATTCATGCGATGTTCCGTAATCATCGTCCACGAAGTTGTTTATCATTCAACGAAGTATCCTGAAGATCTATGATGGTCCCTAAAGTTTTACGAAGTTCCACGAACTTCTATGAAGTTCTCTGAAATCAAATGAATGTCTCTTGATATCTAAGAATTTCCCTAATGTGACGTGATGTTATGTTTGTCAGCCAAATTTCACAATAGTGCGTACAGATCATGGTGATTATGGTGGATGATTTCTCTCATGAATGTGTTTGTAAAACCTATTTTGTCGTGCTTTAGGATTACATAGATTACATACTAACTGGTAAAGGTAATGCATACCTTTGTGCGTAACAAATGACAGCGATGGAGAGCTATGGAAGCCAGGATAGAAAACGGTGACATATAGAAGTTAATCCAGAAGGAGTAAGCATTTTACAAGATTCAGCTCGCTAATCTAAGGAAGGTCTCTAAAAACTGCAAATACTGAATTTTTGCATCAGTTGAGACTAGTACTACGAACTTCCAACCATCATAACAATGCATTTCAATGGTTTTTCGATCAACTTTGAATGATGGACATCTCACAACGCTCAACCTGATTTTCGTCTATGAACCATCTAGATACGCGATTATAAAATTTAATAAAAATTTTTACGATTTGTTCAACTGCTAGATCGTATTTTTCACGAGTGCTTCTTGTGCAACGATCATATACAATAAGTGATGTCTGTGTGCCATACTTTCGATAAATCAGAATGAATGACAAACGAAGGGAAGAAATATATTTCATAAGATGTGAAAGTTCTGAATTCTGCTACAGATATTCCAAGATAGAAAAAAAAAATCCCGGAATTCACGCGATCCCGGCATTTAAAAATTTATTTCCCGGGATTCGGTAATCCCGAAAAATGTCACAATCCCGGGATTTTCATCCCGGGACATCCCGGGATGGAAGCTCTAACCGTACCGTTACCGACTAGGCTATGGAGCCCCCTACCCTATCTCACATTCAAAACGGTATTTTCAGATAATACCAATGCTATCCTTATGATCGTTGATACATGTAGGTTTACTATATTCAAAATCCTCCCACCGGTTTCCGTAGAAATTATCACTAATTCTCTCACACACGCACATGGTTGCCGATCATGTGTGCTTTGCTTTCAGTATCTTCCATTTTTTTCAAAATAAAGCAGAGACTGAAAGATTCTAATCCGTTGCCCTTAATTCGCCCTTGGATTTACTTCTAGCGCAACCACACGGTAACCTCGTTAGGCACATGTGTTAATTCACTTTAAGCTGACCTCGAAGCTTCGATTCTCTCCATCCACTCACTGATGAATAAATATACAACCGGTATCTACACAGACGCCAGACGACCTTCAAGGACGCAGAATGTTATAGCCAATTGACATTCAATTCCAACTCACCTGGATCCCGTCAAGTTGAGACACACGACTGCTATTGCCAGCAGAGTCGACCCGCTGCAGTGAATCGCCGTTATCGTCGTTCCTTTGCACTTATCAAACATTTTGTCGCAACCACCATCAGGTACCGGGCGTCGTCGTCTTGGACCGTTGATCCACCGCATCATTCTAAGTTAAACTTTTATAGACCACAAACTTGCTCTGAACTAGATTTACGATTACACTTTTATGACTTCTTCCCTCGCTTGCTGGCGTTCACTTTGCGTAATTTATTCTCACGCTAAAATGTGAAATTTCGCTCTTCTTTTTCATAACCTTTTCACACAATCACTCCGTAGACCACTTTACTGTAAACATTTCAAAACACTCCAACTTTAATCAAAGTTGCAACAACACTTGATTCCAATCGAAAATGGCTTCAAATCACCCCCGTACACGTGTCACTGACCGCGCGCGCTCGCTGCCCTCATTCGATGACTTCCCGAAAAAAAAAAAAACAATCTGATTCTCCATCAACGGATCCGTCCACCCCGACGACACACCACCAACGAATGCTGCAAATTTGTCAACTGTGTCAACTGTGAATCTCTCGTGACAACGACGTCGCCACCGCCGCCGCCGCCGCTGCCGTCACTCGCTGTTCACCGAACCGGGCACCGAACATATTTAAAATCCATTAAAAACAAAAGTCTTGTTCTCACTCAGTCGGTCGCATCGCAGCTTCTGTGTATGTTCAAACGGCCGTCATCCGCTGTTAACCGAATCGAGTCACACGAAGTGATCAAAGAGATTCGAATTTTTTCCAATAATTCCCGCCACATCACAGCTGGAACGGCGCATCCCGGCGGCGTTGATTCAATCTTAGATCTAGGCCCAAGTGGCCGAGCGGACAATCTCCATGCAGTCTGGGGCGAGTGTGGAACGTGCATGAGTAGTTTGCCCCTTCGAAGAATGTGGTCGGTCACACAATTTACAATGAAAACAATTAGAGCAACCGTGTGGACCCACGTCAAGTGACGAGTCTTGGTTGGTAGGCTGGTACAAATGGAGAACTTTTCGGATCTTGATCACTTCATCGATTCCGATAGGATCGGAAATTCAACGTTCGCACCAGCCTATCCATCCGAGCGTACTCTTGGAATTATCTTTATGCAAATTGGACCGCCACCGTCGAACTCGTCGTCGTCGTCGTAGTTGCTACCGTTTCGGATGAGGCTTTGTGACTTAATAAGTAGTGTGTACTTAGGTACCAAGAGCGTCGGGTGGCGGTGTGGTTGGATGATGTTTTGCTACCGCATTGTTCTGCGTTGAGTAAAAAAGGTCTGCCGCTAGCAGGGAAAATAGGAAGGTGGTCTGGCCCATTCGAATCCGCTGATGATGCGAAGAGAGGAGAATGCTGCTTTGTCTAGGCTGCTAACTATGATGGGTTGCTGCCAGCTAGACTTACTATAACTCTACATGGTCATTTTATAGCCGTGTGGCGCTTGTTGTCGGTCGGTTTTTACCCAGCAGCGGTGCTTTTCCTGGTTCGGAAGAACAATGGATATGAAATTTATTGGAAGGGTGGAGCAGGGCGGCTTCAATAAAATTATTCAAGCTTCAAGAATGGTACTAAATTAATTAACTAGAATCGCTCATTTCATGGCTCTTTGAATTGAATGTATACCGGCTACCGTGGTGAAGGCACACGTTTTTGCGCGCCAAAGGTGGAATGTAATTCTTTCTCTGTACAAAAAGGAAGTGAATAGGGTGTAGGACCATTAGGCCAAATGGGTGATTAGGCCGAAAGCCACAAGGCCGAATTTTAATAGGTGAAATTTTGAACTTAGGATTCGGAAAAAAATCTCTGTCTGGAGCAGTTACAGGTAAAATAACGAAAAACATTGCATTTTTTAAACGACCTGTTCCGATTTGTATGAAACATTACGTATTTTTTTGTTATGGGCAATGATTGACATTTTTGCTAAAATCCTGCCATTTTAGATCTTGTAAAATTTTCAAAATGGCATGGTTGAAATTTTTCAAAAAAATGTAGCACGGAAACGGTATTTCTGAAAGAAAAAAAAATCAATGGCCAGATTTGAGGAAGGGAAATGTGGTCAATTGCCCCTCGGATATGGAGGAAAATGAGCACTTGTTGTTGTTGTATGTTATTATCAAATTTTACGTAATGATAAAGTGCAACTCTGAACTTCTGCTGAACTTCAATAAACTTCTAAGACCTTCAGGAATCCTTGCCTCGGGAACTTCGTTGCAGTTTGTCAGAGATCTTACTTCAAAAAAGCTCCATGAACTTCTTAGAGGTTATGGGAACTTCGTTAAATTTCAAGGAACTTTCCAGGTGTTCAAAAATATTTGTAGATGATAGATGTCTTTCCAGAAGTGCAAATCTGTTCATAGATCTTCGTAGAATTACGAGAGATGCAAAGAAAATATAATGTTTGGAATAATTTCAGGGAACTTCGTAGCAGTTGACGAAATTGTGTAAATCTTAAGGGAGTTTTGTAGATGTCAGGAAACGTTGTATAAGTTACAGGATATTTTTCGAGCCATCCTTCCTAGACAGCAGGAAATATTCAAAAAATCTACATATTAGTAAAGTTCTCTGGACATTTTTCCAAGACTTCAGGTTGATCAAGTTCTGAGGATCTCCAACTTTTAAACATTCAAGTATTCTTTCAAGACTGTACATTGTTCAGGAAGTATACGAAAGTTTTTCAGCGAATTGAATCTAATGCATGACATTCGAAGGCTGGTATCTTAAAAACCTGATTAAATTGAAATTTTAACCTGATTTTTTATAATTTTGTCAAATGTCTAGATTTTTCGAAATCTTTGCATTTTAGTTTTTTTTACTTTCTTATCCACAGGAATTTTCCCTTAAAAAATACTGTGTCAAACATCAGAAAGCTTTTAAGGCTCCCCCAATCGAGGTTGTTGTTATGAAATAAACATAATCAAGTTTATTGTTTCACCATAGTTTCAACAATATGACATTGAGCCTTAATGTTATTTTACATTGAGGCTCAATGTCATATTGTTGGTCACACCCAACAAAAAGTTGCCTTGACGCAATTTGATTGAATAACATCTCGCGATTTTTTATTTAACCGTAGTTCAGCAAAATAACATAAATGCAACAGGCCCTCCCTAGGCCCTCACCAGATAAATTTTCTAGCTGCGCCAATGGCTATTACATATGAGTTAATAGTGTTGTCGTGAGGTACACTCGAAAATTTCAAACGTAAGTGCGTCAAATCAAATTTCGAGCCGCTCCGTCTGTCATTTTGTTTGTGGTTATATTGTAAGAGTGTTAAATTTTGAAATTTGGTGTTTCTGGCGCGTAAAATAGAGGACAAAAATCATGGCTACTAATAGCCTACTATGTCACATTGCAGAATACAGTGTTACCCGCACACTTGAAAAAAAAATCATGTAAATTTAAATCTGTTTAGATGTACTCAAAAGAAGTGGCTTAATTGACCTAAATTTACGTCCTTTCTTAAATTTACTCGAACCACAAACTAAAGACATATTTTTACATGTCCTGACGTAAATTTCAGTCACTGTACTTATTTTTACTGATTTAGATAATATTTCAAAAAACCTGCAATTTACATCTTTTTACACATAATTTTCCTTTACTAGCCTAAATGTAATGAGTCATCTTATACCTATATTCAGAAAGACAGCAAAAACTGTCTGTTGTCTTGCACAATGTTCTCATTTACGTGATTTTGTGAGACCAATTTCAAAAATAGATTGTCAAACTTAATTTCAATTGACTGCCGGATACCACAGTTTGTTTCATTTTCATCACAACTGTCTTTCACTATTTGAGTACTGGGGTATTCATCTAAACGTGGATTTTCTGCACAAATATTAGAATTTTTCTTTTCGGAACCCATTCGATTATAGCACTTGTTGTGGATTCTCAATCTGTTTGGTGTTGCGAATGGTTTGGTTCTCTGGCAATTCAAAAAATAGACTCTCCTGCTGATATGTGGTACATTGCATGTTTAGTGATTGATTTAAATCATTTGTTTTGACACTGCAGAACATTATTGGATATTCGTAAAATTTCACTCTGTCGTTCAATATGGCGCTGCCTCAAGTGCTGCCGATATGCCACAAACGATTTAAGGTGATACGGCACGTCATGCAACAATGGCTGTCCCCACAATCATTAAATAAACGTGTTTTGGTATGCGTACGAAAGACATCTTCCTACAAAACAGTAAATTACTAATTACATACTTTAAATAATTGGCCAAAATTGTATGAACAAGATCTGGATACTAAGTTGTACACTTTCTCACCAAAATATTGCCAATTTATTCACACATTCGTAATATTTGCATTAAAAAGTACGATCAGTCGATTTTGTTCTACTCTGGGCATGTAATTAAAATAACTGTTTTCACTAGCTCTCACTTCCTAGAACCACATTAAAAACAACTACGACACGTGCTTCTACAAGCACTTTCAAGTTAATTCACTTTTAAAGATGATATTTACTTGAACAATATCATTTGCATCGCTAAAAACGCGAGCCGCGAATAATTTCGTAAGCTGAAACTGTTTTGTTTACCTTTTTTCTACACACCACATTACGAAGGTGTGTGTACGAATCCATCTATCATCGTATCCAGTTTTGTCAATTTAATTGAAACAAAGTGTTTAAAAACAATGTAGTTATTGCTTTTGAAGGTTCTTCAACTGTGTTCAATTTAGAAACCATCACTAATACAAATTAAAAACAATTTCTTATTTTGATTTTCCTGAAAAGAAATGCAAGTAAATAAACCTACAAATCTTCTATAGAAAAAATATTTGTCATTTTGGTTGCACTGGTCGAAGCCATCAGCTGATATTAAAAAGGCGGGAAAAGAATGATGTAAAAACATAAGCATACACGATAACAAAAAACGTATCCTAGCGGCCAGTTCACATTTACCTACTTTCGACTTTGAGTATAATCACGATCATATTCGCCTACTTTTGGGTGTAACTGACTTAATTTTGGGTAGAAAGCGAATTTTCAATTCCATAAGATTTAAACACAAGTGAATGAAAACTACTTTGACTCACTTTACTTTCTTTTGGTTTCCTGCAATAAAGAGTCGAGATGTGTGAAAATAACTTACATTTGGGTACTTTTTTCTT